TTTTTAATAAAATAATACTATTTTAAAGTTTGCAAAAAAAAAAAGAACTTCTCAAGTAACAAGCTAAAGATAAATTAAAAATAATAGTGAAAGTAGTGAAAATAACAATAATTTTTAAAATAATAATATTAGTGATAATAATAATTATGATAAAGATATCATAATACTATGAAGAATGATAGTGATAATAATAATAAAAATAAAAATAAAAATAAAAATAATTTATTATTATGATGATAATAATTATTGTGATAGTAACAGTATAATAATAAAGATAATAATCGAAATAATAATAATAATAACAATAATTAAAATAATAATGATGGTGATAGTTATGATGGTGTTATTGATAGCAATAATGACGATGATGATAATAATAATAATAAAGATAATCTTGAAATGGTGTGTTGTAATATATTAATTATTTTTTAATTTAATTCCTTAACAAAAAAAAATTAGTTTTTTTAATAATTATTTAATTGTGTTCATTTTCTTCTTGAATAAGTGTAATTGCTGTTTTATTTAGCACTTTAATTTCAATTTTTTATGTATTTTTTAATTGATCCTTTTTTTTATTTTTTTTAACTATTTTATAACTGTAATTTTTTAAAATGTTTCCTTATTCATTTATTTTTTTTCAATTAAACCTCCAATCAAAAAAATATAACTGCCCTCTAATTTATTTATTTTTTAATCTTGATTTCACCTTTATTATTTTAATTTTTTAATTTTAGATATTTTTTAGTAGTTATTTTTTTCCTATTATATTTATCTATGTTTGTTGACCTCATCCAATTTTCTTATTATTTTTTATCCAATTCCATGCTCTCATTGTTTTTTTTTTCAAGATATCATGATAATTATTTTTTAAAATATTTTTTAATTGTTTTTATTATTTTTATTTTATTATCTAATTAAAATAAGACCAACTTTAAAACTCATTCAATTAATTTCTCTTATTCATTTAAAACTCATCTGTAACACCAGACATTGTTTTTCGTGAAAAAAATACAAACTGTTTACATCACTTTAATATCAGTTGTTTGCTAAAATAAAAATAAAAATAAAATATAGACATGCAGCGTAGCGGGGGCATGCCTAATGACGTGTTCTATTTTGCAGCGGGTTAGGGCATGAAATCCCATCCTTAATTGTTTCTTCTGCAGTTCTTACGTTGTATTTGGTCTCTTCAAGGTGAGTCTGCATTGGGCCACGTTACTGACTTTGGATGCGTTCGTTCATTATTCATCGCTGAGCTTTGATTAATATCGAATTTTTTAGCCATGACTGGGCCTCCAACAGAATACGGTCCCACAGAAGCAGAATTGTTGCTGTCTAATCTGAGCACATGAACGAAACTACAAGATGACAATTCCTGTGTTGCAAAACGACAACACATCATGTGATCCGCCGAAGCACCTGCCGATCGGATAAGTCACCATATCCCCTGTTTGTTGTCATTTATTGCCCACAGCTTGTTTCATGCTAGAGGGTGATCGGCAGCAATTCTGTTTTGTTTCGAATATCAATCATATCATCTGAGTTTTGGAAAAATATATGCAAATAATTTATTAAATTAATCATCTAATGATCAAAATTCAGCTATTTTGACAAATAATCCAACGTCGAGGCGCATTATTATGGAGCGTGGATGCTCTCCTACCCGCTGGCATATGTTGACGTTGTCCCTTGAATCTAAGATTGATAGCTTTATAGAAGATTTCAATATAAGTCTTTGGTTTTGGTTTTGTACCCCGTGATAATACATAAACACAGCAGCATTTTTACAAAACATATTTTTATGTGGGTTTTTTCGTAATATATACCATGGGGATAACTGAGCCAATTACATTAATTGAGACAGTAATGTATGATCCAATTGTTATTTTTAGATCTTTATCATCGTGTTTAAATTGTTTTTTATGCATTTTAGATTAAAAAATAGATTGAAAATAAATTTTTTAATAAAATAATAATAATAATGATAATAAAAGCCCAACTTTTTTGGCATTATACAAACAAAGATGATGTATTCTCAACTTTTTTTTAATAGAAAAATAGAGTGATCTCTTTGAAAAATAAAAAAAAATAAAAATATTAAAACATTCTAAACGCATGGACTAAGCTAGAAGGCTCGTGTATCTAAGGTTTTTTTATTTTACTTTTTTACTTTGTTATTTTATATAAAAAAAAATAGAGTAATCCCTTTGAAAAATATATGTAGAAAAATAGAGTAATCCCTTTGAAAAATTAAAAATTAAAAATATAAAGATATTCTAAAAGCATGGGCTAGGCTAAAAGGCCCATGTATCTAAGGTTTTCATTTTATTTTATTTTATTAATTTATTATTTTATAAAAAAAATTATTGAATCTAATTGAATTTATAAATTAAGTTGTGGGCTTAACGGATTAATCCACAACATTCAGCCTATAATTTTATTTTTTTAATGCATTGTCAATTTAAAAAATACAATTTTATTATTTGTTATCAATGATCTATTTTTTATTTAACTCAAAAAAAATATATAATTTCATGCTTTGTTATCAATGATCTATTTTTTTTATCTTGGTTCCGTGTGCCTATCATGTTTTTATTTTTTCAAAAAAAATATTTTATATAAAAAATTTCCATGTACATATTTATCATATAATTAAATGAAAATTAATCACATGATAAAAAATATATATTGAATTTGATGATGTGCAAGACTTGCTTTGTGAGTTTGCTTAATTTTTTTAATTAAATATCAATTTTTATCAATTTTATTCTCTAGCGTTATGTTAATTAAGGATTGAGTTTTTCAAAAAAAAATTCAAAAATATCCCTAAAAGTTTTACAATTAATGTTTATCCAGGTAGATATAACATATTTTTATTTTAATACTAAATAAAAATATGGTTCAATATATAAGTAATTTTGAATCCATTATTAAAATCTATTTTAACAAAATACACTAGAAATGTACTTATCTTTTTTTTACATGTGATATTTTTTGCGCTCCAACCGGCGATACAACGAATAAAAGCCCAACTTTTTTGGCATTATATAAACAGAGATGATGTATCCTCAACTTTTTTTTAACAGAAAAATAGAGTGATCCCTTTGAAAAATAAAAAAAATAAAAATATAAAGACATTCTAAAAGCATGGACTAGACTGGTCTAAGGTTTTTTTATTTTATTTTTTTACTTTGTTATTTTATAAAAAAAATCATTAAATCTGATTGAATTTATAAATTGAGTTGTGGGTTTGAAGGATGATTAATCCACAATATTCAGGCTATAATTTTATTTTTTTAATATATTTTTTGCCCCTCAATTTAAAAAAACAATTTTATTATTTGTTATCAATGATTTATTTTTTATTTAACTCAAAATAAAAAAAATATATAATTTATAAAAAAATTTCATGTATATATTTTTCATATAATTAAATGAAAACTAATCACATGATAAAAAGAATTAAGTCCAATGATGTGCAAGACTTGTTTTGTGACTTTGCTTGGTTTTTTAATTAAATATTAATTTTATTCTTTAACATTATATTAATTGAGGATTGAGTTTTTCAAAGAAAAATTCAAGAATATCTTTAAGAGTTTTATAAGTTAATTCAGATTGATTTATATAGATATAACATATTTTTATTTTAATACTAAATAAAAATATAGTTCAATATATAAGTAATTTTGAATTCATTATTAAAATCTATTTTAAAAAAATACACTAGGAATGTACTTATCTTTTTTTTACATTTGAAATTTTTTGTGCTCCAACCGGTGATATAATGCAGGCCAATAGTGTAGTTTAGCTCTAAATAATGTCGCGAGTAACATTATTACTCGCACAGACACAAAGAAGATAACAACAAAAATACAAAAAGTTTACGAGCACTGGGTATACTGACTTGCATGATGAACTCATCTCCCATGGATCCAATGTGTCACCCTTTGTATAAAGCAGGCTCTAAAGTCTAATCTATGTAGTGTAGCCTAGCTCCACTATGTTCAGGCTCTCAACGAGCCCAGTCAAAAACCAAGAAACTAGCTCTATCCAGCACTGATATCCTATTAAGTGGGCCACTCGTGGGTGTTATCTTGATTTAGGGCTAAACCTGTAAATCAAAAGATGGACTTCAATTTAGATTTGGACTTATCATCCTAATCCTAACTCAGCGAACCCTCATCGTCATCAAGTTAGACTGACTATTCGCACATACTAACAGACGTTTTGGAAATATAATTATAATTATTTTTTAAAAATTATTTTTGATATCAATTCATCAAAACAATCTAAAAATACTAAAAATTATTAATTTAAAATAAAAAATAAAAAAATTTAATTTTTCTTAAAATACTTTTAAAATACAAAAACAATCACACATGCTCACTTCAAGGTTTGCCGTTTCCTTAGTCTCCTTAATTTAAGCTCTTCATTAATGTCAAAAACTTAATCTGGGCTATCTTTGTTTTGTCTCATTTTCCAATTTCTCAATCTTTTATTAGATTAACTAGTGATGAGTAGTTTTGGATAATTTGGATTTAGCTTTCAGTTATTTTTTTTCTGATTTTATGGTTGCACGACAGGAATTCTGTGAATTCAGAAAGGGTGATGATGCCTTATCAAAAAATTAGCAATTATTAAATTGCAAGATCACTACGTTTGAATTGGGATTTAGCAATTTCATTGACTTTTAATTAAATTTCTAAAAGTGAGTTCTTTTATAACTTGAATTTGCACGCATTGCTCGGTGATAGCTTATTTTAATATTCCGGTTGTCAATTTTCACTTTATACGGGTTTTCTAGCTAATTTTTATGATTTTAAAATTAATAATTACATAAATTTCTAATGATTATCAATATTAACAATCAACCTGAGAACAACCACAGGGCTAGAATTTGTTGTCATTATTTTGCCACAGGGCTAGAATTTGTTGTCATTATTTCACAAATCGGTTGCTGGGTTCTTTTTAGGAGCTTCAAATTCATTTTTCGCAGTATGTACATCATACTGTTGACTGTTGAAGCACAGATAAATTTTTTTCCCAGAAATAATATTTTATATCATGCTTGTCTACTGATGCAATAATATTTTGTTTTCGACCAGGAAAAATATGTCGGGGATAAGGGAGGTGGCCTCTGTAAAATTTTGTTCTTGAAGGTAAACTATACAGCATATTTTTAAGTTGTTTATTTGCAAATTGTTGCAGTAGTACATCTCCGCTGTCTTTTGCATCTTTTCTCGTCCATACCCCGGTAACTGTACATCCTTCTACATGCAGGCCAAGAAAAGTTGGTATTATATTGTTTCCGCTTTGGTGGAGACGAAAGGGAAATTACCTTTCCTTTCCCGTTTCACCTTATGAATTCATAAAGCCTAAATGGGATCAAAGATAGCTTTGATATTCTATTTTTGTTCATTTCCGGGATATTGATGGGAGTTACTTATGCCTTTCAACTGTGCAGTGTTGTCTCAGAGGCTTGGTTTGGGAAAAGGAGGTACAAAGAATGGCTCCTGAAGAAGCACTGGGTGAGAGACTTAACGTATATGCCTGGACTGTGCTTGAGTCCCTCCCCTATCTCATTTTTCCATTGTTATTTCCTAGTTACTGGCAGTTTTTTTATTCTATCCTTGCTTGCTCTTGTATTTGCGGCCTTGACTTCTAACAGCCTGGAATAGGATGCCAGACAAACTTCTGGAAAACGTGCACGAGATTCTGTTTCCTCTTTTAACTCTCCTCGGATCTGAGAGAAATTAAATTGTTTGTAGGGATAAATTAGAATCCTTAAGTTTGGCTATTCTTATCTGGTGTAATGCTCCCACTGCGGATACATATGAAGGCAATCACATCCATGATTGTGTTGCAATGGTAATAATCTTATTAGATCAGGATTAAATAAATGCCAGGTCTTATTCTATGAGCTAGTGATTCATTACATTCATGGCAATCTAATATTTCAACATGTTTATTTTGTCTGATTAAATCTGTTTGTGATCTAAAAGTTCAATGGTAATTCACTCTCTGATCTTCTTGTGTTTTTTATTTTCAAGTTTCCTTTGGGCTGTCTCCATTTGCGCTTACAAATGAGTCAGCACAGTGAGCATTAAATTTTATTTCTTTCGGCATTTATTTTTATCTTTTCTTCTCTCAAGTCTTTATTTGAACAGATTCGTGTTTGCATTTTTGCTACCTTGCAAAAATAATGTTTATGTGAAGAGTTTCAAATCACATTGACTCTGATATCTTACTGTTACTTCTGATGCATATCATATGTAATTCTTCTCATTGCAATCATCTAAATTGCTACACAATCAGCACTATTATAAAACTGAAGTTAAGTCTTCCCTTTAATGTTCATCTCCAGCCACACCTTATGAAAGCATTTCTTAATTGAAGACTATCAAGCAACCTGCTCGATGAGAGGGATGTATTAGAATCTAGCTAAACGAGATTGGTGGGATGCATAAGGTCAAGGAATTGATGAAATATAGTGTTTTCTCAGATGCTGGATTATTTGTGGAAGAGATTCTAAATAAGACATCAGCTCCATTACTTTCAGAAGTAAGTGTAGTGCAGTATTCTTCTTCAGTCTTAACCTAGTCGTATATCTGAGTAAGACTTGTGAAATTTTTCTACGCTGATCACAGAGGAAGCTGTCAAGAAGAATGGTGTAAATCTAGGAACTGTGGTTGCTGACATTAGAAAGCAGCTTCATTCAGATTTGCAAAGCATTTCTGTGAGTATTGTCATTCCCACTATTTCACAAAAAAAGAAAAGAAAGGAAAAGAAAAGATAAGCTACCTTTACCATCAAAAGGCATTGCCTGCAAGATCTTTGACTCTTCAGCATCATCTCTTGCCAAAAAGATGATGTTTATTATTGAAAGGGCTATCTTGCCAAAAAGATGATGTTTATTATTGAGAGGGCTATTTTTTTTTTATTATTATTATTATTATTGTGCAGATGATGTTTAAGAACACAGCCTATACACATAGTGTTCCATGCTGGTTCTCAACGTCGTTTATAGCTTTCTCTTTGTATCTTTTTGCAAATAACAGGAACGTATGCCTGAGAAAAAATGTACTGATCTTTGTTTCTCAAATAGGGACTTTGAGTATGTTGACAATGACAGAATACCTTGAGAAACGACCTCTCCGTAAATTTCTTAGGTTACACAGTTCTGAATGTTTTCATGGAATTAATCGTGTGATTTGCATTTATACAGCTTATCACGGATATTTCAAAGAAAAAGAGACAAATTATAATGCAAATGCATTTGACAACCGCTTATGAAGCTGTGAATGAATTGGATTTTTGCCTGTTGTGCATGGGATCTGCCATTCTCAAGGACTCAACTTTGAGTGCTTTACCATTAATCCAGAACTGCTTCTTAAGCGAAGAAAATAAATAAATAAATAAATAATTAGCTTTGGTGGTTCCCTTATGTTCTTTGCAAATAAATAAAACTTCACGCCTGTACAACAAAGTGCATGCCAAATAATTTATTCTTCAATTTCTTTTCATTTTGCTCTTGAAACAATATTTTTCATCAACCAAACCAGAGACAACTGCGAAGCTTTAAGGCTACAACAGTAGTCGCATAAAACGATATATTATCCGCAGAATTAGCTTTGCCCTGCAACACAAATTCATACCACCTGGTTAGCGGATGTAGTGTGAATGCACTAAATAGTAATACAGAATGATGCTCTGCATATGAACTGTGCAGAAAAATGGTGGTTCTTATAGGATATCGAGTTTCTTTCGGATAAAATGGAATTGATTGACGAACTATCAATGCTAAGCCAGAAAATGGCATAGCTGTAATCTATCAGCTGTCCTGCACAATTTCTTCTCGAGTGTCCTTCCTTAATTGGTCCATACACTTACATTCCTAACAAACATATAACCATAATAAAGTCGATATAAATAGCTTTAGCAAGACCATCAACGTTTTTTTTTTGCTAAAGAATATTGCAAGAACACCATCGTGAATCAACTGCTGGAAAAAAGAAGAAGAAGAAGAATTCAGTATATAACAGGCAAATCACAAACAGTTTCTGATATATTTAACATCCAACAAATCTTTCTATTCAGAAATTCATCCTTGCAGCTAAATAGTATGATTTTCCGTCTTTTTGTATCATGGAAATGTTTTGTCAGTTTCCAGACTTGTAAAATGAAACATGAGAGTTGAATTTCACTATCCCGAGCAGCTATCAAAGAGATAAATGAAGAAGTATCACATGCAACAAGGAATAATTTTGCATATCCAAATAAACGTGAAAACATTTACTCAGTATTAAATACATGATCTTGCTAAATATATATATAGGTTTAGGATTCAATTCTCACCTCCTTGAGAGGTACCGGCAACCTCTCCGTGAGGACTAATCCTCCCATACCTAGCGCGAAATGGCCATAAAGATGACAACTGCCTCCTCCACCTCAAGCACCTTCCCCTCCTACCCCCTCCATCCTCACACTCATCTTCATCTTGAGCACTACTTTCACTATTAACCGGCAACTCCTTTCGACAAACTGGACAGGAGTTGTGTAACCTTAACCATGGCACGATACATTCACTGTGGTATATGTGCTTGCAAGGCAACTCCCTTGCCTCCCCTCCAACTTTAAACTCTTCCTTGCAAACCGGACAATGAGAGTCATTCAACAAATGACTTGCCTCGATTTTTACAGTTGGTATGGCATCAATGGTGATTTCTGGAGCTGGTGGTGGCCCTGGGCGGTCATTTTGTGTCAATTGCTCAATCAACTCGTTTAGGCCTGGCCCCAAAAAAAAGTCCCTGTGATCAACAAGGGGAGGAACTGGGTTTTCAGATTGCGAAAGGGGTTCGATTGGTTCACGAAAAGGATACCCTGGCCTGTATTGCATCCATGTTCTTGGCCTGGATTGGATCCCATGTACGTGTTCCATAAGACCTGTCCCACTAAAACTCCAATCCGGAGACCTCCGTTGGCTGATTTCAGGGTAGAATGAATCCCAAGTATCTCTCCCATCAAGCTCTAGCGACAGATTTCTACGCCTTCGAGGACGAATTTCAGTATCAATAAAGTCAGGTCGATTCCGTCTACGAAACCAGGACCGACGAGGAGGTTCAGGTTCATCGAGACTATAATTGAATCTTCTGATTGGTGGGTCAAGCATTAGAGATAGTGCTTCAAGTAAGCGAGCGTCTGGTGAAGGATCAAAAGCAGTGAAATCAACAACCAGTCTTGGTCTATTAATTCCAATCTCACTAAGGAACTGCCCTGAACAACGAGGGCAGATGATCTCTGATGAGTCCGTGGTGTCAATCCTCACCATTTGATGGCACTGGTAGCACCAGTATCGCTGGAAGTTTACTGTGGTGCCATTGGTTCTTGTTCTGGGTGGGCTCAAAGACATAATTCTTTAGATAGAGAATCCAAACGGTTTTTGGTTTTGGTTGTTGTCGAGTTTGTATTTCTTCTCAAAATGACAATGCAATCGGTTAGATTTTTTTTTCAAAAGAGAGCATTTATAAGCAAATGTACAAGTGACAGGGAAAGGATGGCTTTTTGGGGTTGCGTAAAGAAATTCCTTCTTACTTGCAGTCTATTCATTCTAAATATCCACTGTTTCTTCTGCACAGAGGAAAGTATGAGTGAGGTTTGGTACAAGAAGAGAGCTCTGTTTCCTCCTGTTAATGGCAGGTTAAAAGGTTCCTGGCTGTTTTTCCAAAAATAAGAAGAGAGAAAATGGAGGGAAAGGTTAACGGCTAACTTTCCCAGGAAGGGAGGTTAGCATCTTTCAATTTATACCAAAAAAAAAAAAAAAAGGCCTCTGAGACTGATTTCATCGATTTTTCTATTATGTGTAGATCATGTAAACAATATACAACTATGCGCTCTAAATTTTTTAAAAATAAATAAATAAATAAAATAAGAACTATTAGAAAAAAACATAAAAAATACTAACAAATCTGAAAACAAAATATTCGATTGAGAAATGGAAAAGGAAATTGAAAAGCCTTTGGAAAAAACGGGATATTTTCTTTTCTTTTCCTTTTTTTAATTTTTTAAAAAGTTTAAAATAATTCGTTTCTTTTTTATTTTGATTTGCCCCTACTTTTAAATGTAATATTTTGTTTTCAAATTTGATTTCTTTTCTAATAGTTCTTATGTTTAAGTCTTTTTATACCTTTATTAAATTGTGGAATCAAATTAAAGGATTTAATTTTTCGTTGGATTTTGAGTAAGAATTTCTTTTCTTTTCTTGTCCTAAGATTAATTTATTAAAAACCTTAATTTGAACAAAATTTCTAAATGATTTGCTATTTTGTATGATTTATTTATACATGGGACGCTGTCAACAACTGTTAGCAGAGCACTAGATGGTGCCCGATTTAAGTGGTAAAGAGACCTGCAGCGTCTTCTTTCCGATTACTTCTCTGATCCGACTCCTTTTGCTTTCTTTTTTAATATCCCTGACTTTGTATCATACCCGTCCGTTCAATGTTAATCACTGCATGCCAATTTGATATTGCTTGCTCCGGTTTTCATTTTATATCCACGGTAGAAGACAGCCTTTTAACGTTGTTTCAAAAAAAAAAGGGAGATCCAAGGTAATATCAACATTTGGATCCTTATCAGAACATGGGCCAGATTGTTTAGGGTTTAGTATGTTCATAAGTCTCAGTGGGCCTTTTATTTAGGGGTGTTGTCTTGTTAGGCCACATGGACACCCTGGATCCAGTTTAATGGTGAGTCTTCTGGACTTGTTGACCCATCATGGCTTCTTCAGACCCATGCTGATAAGCTTAATATAATAGAATAATAAGCCATATGATGCAAATGAATCCATATGAAAAATTGGATGGATGCAAGCTTTATTTAGAGTTTGAATATCCCAGTAAGCTTCGTGGCTCTTCGTGAGCTTGAACCTGTTTCTCCCGTGAGTTAAGAGGCGTTTGGCAAAGCTCTTCAAAAACATTAAATTAATTTTTTTTAGTTTTTTATAATGATTTTGATATAATATAAAAAATATTTAATATATTTTCAAACCAAAAAAAATTAAAAAAATACTCTCCACAGCAATTTCAAACACCTTAAATGGCTTTGAGACATAAGACAGATTAAAGGATATAAATGTTTTATCATCAAAAAGTTACTGTCAATAGTTGGAGTTAGGTGGACATAAGTAGATCGGACTTTCAAGGGTTACTTTGGCCATTCAAATCACGTGGGTTGTATTTGATTTATGATAGTATTTTGTTATTGTTTTGGGATTAAAAAAAATAAAAATAGTAAAAACAAATAAAATAAGATAAAAAATAAAAGATAAGACGTAATTATATTTAGTAGTAATGTATAATACAAAGTGATCATCTTTGTATTTTATTTAAGGTGGATAAGATCTAATAAAATATAAAAAATTTTATTTTACATCAAAGTGATCATCTTTGTATTTTATTTAAAGTAGATAAGATCTATGAAAAAAAAAATTTACATTTAATATGTATTGTTGTCAAATTTATATATTTTTAAAAAATAATTGGTATTTTTTTTGTTGATCTGGGACCTGAACTGGTTTGAGCTTAAAAAAAAATAGATGAAGGACTGACTTAACTTGGTATGATCAAAAACCTAGGTCCACCTAGATAAAATACTAATAAAAAACCTATTATTTTTTTCAAAAAACAAGACAATATTGCTTTGATTTTTTTTTTTTAAAAAAAATAGGTTAACTAAGTTGACCCTTTCAACATTGTGACCCGAGCCTTGCTCTGATCGGCCTTTAAATTAAGTCTTAAAACTATAATAAAAACTATTTTTATTTTATATTGACCCGATAATAATAACTATTTTTATTTTATATTAACCCAAGTCAACTCGAGTTGACTCATTAAAGTCACCCAAGCTTTGCCCCAAGTCAGTTTTTTTAACTATAATAATAATTATTTTTGTTTTTATGTTGACTCGGGTCAGCGGTTAACCCCACTCATGACCTAGACTTTACCCTAAGTTAACCCTCAAAATTAAATTTTAAAATTATAATAATAATTACTTTTATTTTTATGCTAACTCAAGTTAACGTCACCCATTACCCGATCTTTGTTTTTGATTGACCGTCAAGTTAAGTTTTAAAACTATAATAATAATCAATTTTATCCTTGCATGTTATAGTTAAAAAATTTTGGAACTAATAATTTGTTATATAGATATTTTAAAATAAAATATAATAAATATTATATCTACATATATATTTCTTCTTTATCGTTTATTTTAAAAATACATCATTTCACTATAAAACTATTTTGGTATCTCTTTTTTTAACCAATTACATTTATTTCTTTACTATCTCCTTATTTGATTTCTCATGACATTAACCCTGCAACCTGCAAAGAAGTGTTACCAGTCAAGTTGAATACCTGTGAGTTAGTTTGGTGGGCAATTAGAACAAGGAAAAAAATAATCTAATATATGTCATATTCACAAGGCAATCTTTTCAAAAATAAATATATTGATATTTGTGATTATTTAGTTATTAAAATTATAATATTATATTAAAAAAATATCTCAATTAAAAAAGTTAAATGATTAGTTGAAGTCTTATAAAATATTTTCTATTTTGTTTTTCGGTTTTATTCTAGCAAGGTTTTAATTATCAAAGATATATATTTTAATTTCAGTTTGATTTTTATAAAAAAAATAATTAAATTATTTTTTTATAAAAAAATCTTAAACTAAACTGAAATAGTTCAAAAACAGATAAATAATATTATTATCACAAATATTTCCTTTTTTGTGTGCAATTGTTGTTGTTTTTTATTATGTTATTGACTGGTTTGTTATATATACACTCAAAGCTAAAATGCATGATTTGCCTATGAGCTAGTCCTGTTAACAATGGTGCTTTGACGTTTCCTTTTTCAGGAGAATTATATTAGAGCTCTATTTATATATATTTTCTAAGGCAAATTTGAAGAAATACTCTACATTTCTTCAATTATTTGTATTTATATAAAAAAAAATTGTGGTGGCACTAAATTGAATTGTTTCTAATTTTGTGTATCTTTAAAGCATGTATGTTTGTTGGAAAATAATTTTTTTTTGAAAGGTGAATTTTAAATAAATAATTTATTTTTTTATATTTGGTAGTGTAATGAAAAATAATTTAGAAAACACTTTCCAGTATTTGGTTATGTTATAGAAAATAAACTGAAAAATAACTTATTAATATTTTTTTTCAAGTCTATTAAAATAACGAGGAATAAATCTTACAAATAAAAAAGTTGAACGAGAATGAAATTGAAAAAAATATAATTTCATAAATTATCTCAAATAAAATAAATCATAATCAAAATAATAGAAATCAAATAAAAAGATAAAAAATAAAGAACGAGGACCAAATTTGATAGATAAAAAATTTTAATAAAAAAATAATAAGAAAAAATGAATAACAATTATAAAAATAAGAATGAAAGTTAATATAAAAACTAAATTTTAAAATATGTAATTGAAAAATAAATATTCAAAACAAAATATATATAATAATTAAAAGTTTGAGGATCAAATTTGATATAAGTAACAAATAATATGATATTTTAAAATTTTTCACAACTTCTGAAAAATGTTTTTAGTTTAAATTTTTTAGGAAAATAATTTCATGAAAACCAAGTTACATTTTTCTTTGATTGGAAAGTGTTTTTCATTGATCAACTTTTTCAATAATAAATAAATACAAAAAAATTTGAAAATTAATTTTTAAAAAATTAATTTTTAAAAAACAAACACAACCTAAAGCTTTAAAAATAAATATATTTATAATAAAATGGAGGATATGCTATTGTTTATTTTGAATTAATAATTAGATAACGTAATAACTTGAGAGCTAGCTTATAGCATCAAATCATGCATGCAAATATTCACGGTTGTCGTTAGATTTTTAAGATGTAAAAGCTCGACCTTTTTTTTAATAAGTGGACAGGGGTGAAGGAGCCTTGGGAGGGGAAATTCAATGTCCACCAAGAAACCATTGTAAAAAAAAAAAAGTCAATAAAGAAATTGGATTAGGTGACCAAACCCTAGCCGGTTACCAAAACAAGAAAGGGCTGGTTGAACTTGAAGGGGGAAGAGGAGCTCATTTTCTGAACCATTGTAGCTTTAAATAGCAGCAACCATTTTTATATTGCAGTCAATTTGTACTTTCGTAGAAGAATACATCGTCTCTCACCAACTCGGTTGCCGCGGCATTTAAATGCTCGGCAATTGTTCGAGAGAAAGGAAGGCTGGCTGAAAGTCAAAGTGAGGTTTTTTAAAGTGATTGCTTGTAAATGTGGTTGTTATTATATTTTAAATAGTTTTTTATGTTAAAATATATATTAATAATATTTTTATTTTTTAAAAATAATTTTTGATATCATCACATCAAAATAATTTAAAAATATTAAAAGTATATTAATTTAAAATTAATAAAAAAATAAAAAAAATCCAATTTTTTTAAAACGCTTTTGAAACGAAACAAACAGAGAGACCGCCTGCGAG